GAATACACACTATAGAGACGGCAGGCAAAAACTCTAAAGCCACCCCAACGATTGAAAAATGTGTGTAGGTTAAACTGCTTCTTTTTTTTTATCCTTATGGGACTCTGCATAGCTTCGGATGGAATTGCGTTACTGATAAATCAAGTCTTTTTTAGAAAAACTGCAAGAAATGCTTAAGAAATTCTAGTACCAGACTGCCTTAATCAAAAAGTGTTAAAATGTACTTGTTGATTCATAATTAAATGTTCACAGAAGAGTTGACAAATTTCAAAAATAATGGTGTGTTTCTGATGGTGTCAATATATAAAAGCAGTTGTTTGAAAACTGCTCTAAACAGCAGAATAAGTAAGGTTCAATTTAGTATTTCCTATTTATGATTGTTAGATCTTGACAATCCATCCAGCACCTGGAAACCTTTAACAGTGTTTATGAGAAAACCAAACCTTAAATTGTTTTGGTTGTTTTAAGAATAGAAGAAAAAGGCCTCAGAACCCCAAATGTTTTTTTTTAAAGAATATATATCAGGAAAGAATAGCATCATGATTATACCCTTTTGCACTACAAGCATTTATAGATCTTAATGTGTGTTTTTAAGAATCTGTTTTTAGCATAGACTCCCCCAAAGGTATTTAAAATACTTACAGATGCTCCTGTAAAATAAAAAGGAAAAAAAAAAGTCACAATACAGATTCATCTCCTTTTAATTAAGTGAAAGTAAAAAATGTCCAGGTTCTACATTATACTTGAGTTAAATAGTACAATTACATTTCCACCTTAAATGATGTAAACTACCTTCTTTAAAATGATTTAAACCACCTCTTTTCTTAAAGAAACCATTCTATGCTCATTTGCTTACTGTGTTTGTAGAAAGAAAATAAAACCTTCTGACTCTGTCAAGTTTTGTTCTGATTTAAACCTTTAGACAGGATAAAAAAAAAATGTTTAATACTTTTTAGAGCTCGGGTATTCACAGCATTAAAGTTGGAAATATCAAAATTTAAATAGAACTTGAAACATGATCAATAGGTAAATTTAAAAGCTAATAAAAGGGGGTTAGATGGGGAACGCTGTTTTATTTTCTGATTTAGTTAGGTTTTAGTTGTAGTTTCATGCATTAAACAACAAAAAAGTCCTTCACCAGGTCCACTACACACATCTTTAAAAGAAAAACCTTTGCAATTCCATTTGAGGAGGATCTTATTAAAGATTGATCGTCATTTTCACAAGAATGTTTGAGGATTTTGTACAAATTAAATTAGAAATGCAATTTCTGACATTTTTATATTTAAAGCATGTGCTGTCCCTGGTACAATACATAATATAAGAAAATCAAAGACTTGGCCAAATTGTACAGCATTTTGATCATGGATTTAACTAGTCCTTTAATCCCAACATTGAACAAGATTATTATTACTTTTTATGGGCCAACTACAACCTTTCTAGTAGTAGGCATCTTGCTCACATATGATTCACTTCAATTAATCTTCCTTCTGCTCCACCAAGCCGCTGTATCCAAGATGACGTAATGTCCAAATCAATATCAACGACTGGCTGAGCGGGAGGTGTGTTTTGTATGCGTTTTGTAGATGGCTGCAGGTGCAGACCCTTCTCTCAATACACTTTAAACTACCTCAAGGTGCGAGTATCCCTTTAGTCATGTACTGTACAAAAAAATTCTTTAATTACTACTTTTAGATTTATTTTTTTTAAGGGTATGGCGATCTGATGGCTCTTCCATGCGGTCGTAATTTTTGTGAAGGAATACGCATGTGCATGCTCAGGAATCCCTCCTCAAATGGGAACACAGTCCCATGTAATTAGGAATAGCAACTTTTAAGGCGAGGCAAACCCAAAGATTGAGACTTAAAGTTCAAAGGTGCTAATAAATAACAAATATATATAAAATATATTACATTTCTGTTGGTAAAGCCCAGTAAATACTGCACACTGTACCTTTAAGAATAAGCTTCAAATTGAATTGTTTTAAGGTAAATTAGAGCCACTTCGATATATGATCCATGTCATATCTGATCTTTATAAATATGAATGGGAATATTTTTGGCACAGCTGATGCAACTTTGAAATTACTTACCATCCACATTTATCAACACTTTCTGCTAGCAGCGACTACTGTTGAAGGGATAACAGTTAGCAAAATGACAGGCAACTGTGACAGCATCATTAATTAGAGGGATAGATAAATATTATACCTAATTAATATTTTGAGCCTAACTTGGATTCATGGAACACTGGAAGGCTCCTATTAGATTATTTAATAAGTGGGGGAAGCGAACAGCACCACAAGGTTTGCAGTGCTCAAATGTCTCTAAAATCTTTATTTATGTAATTCCCTCTAAGGAACCGCTGGTACAGAAAAGACTTTGTTTGTACAATTAAAACTATTAAAACACCTATTTCTTCCTATTGTTTATGGTCCAACGTGTGCTGGCTGTAATGGTTAATGTTGATGTTCTTTTGTACACACTCAGGTCAGTTTTGCACCTCAAATAGTGGACACTGGAGTTCAATAAAGGCAACATTGTTAAAGTAATGTGAACAACCATCAATGATGATTTAAAAAAGAAAAAATTGGAATGAACATTAAAATCCACCGTGGAAATGTAGTCCAAAAGTGTTAAAAATAGGTACAAGTGCTTTTAGCATTGTTATATCTACAGTAGTATTCAGTAGTAACAATGTTGGATTAGAATCACTTCACCAAAGTCACACCCTGACACTGGTCAGGGCCTGCTGAGACAAAACACTGTTAAGAAATATTGTGGCATTTTGCAATGTTGCAGCCCAATAATCTATTGTAGCCATATTAGTCATCCCACTGTCACACTGATGCCTCCCTATCCTTTGTTTTAGTGTAATAAAAATATATACTGCCATATAAAGAAAAAAGTAGTATATCCTTGCTACACATTTAGCAATGCCGTATGCAGACCACTCTGCCATTAATATTTGTATCCTTCAAAATATCCTTACCAATAGCTCTCCTGTGCAAAGTGTTACATTGGAGCCCAACTACTGGTTGTAATGGAGGCTTAAATATTTTAACAATGACTGAATGATAAAAACTTTACTTTTACAGCACCTTGCATGCAAGTGGATGATAAATGAAAGTTACGATACAGCATAACTTACTTTCTGAATCACTTCCTCAATAATTATCAATCTACATGGAGAGACATAATGAGCAGAGAGATTTCCTTTTTTTGAATATTAGACTCTAAAGCAAGAAATGAACTTATTAAATGAAAATGGTGGCTCACAGCAAAGGTAAGTTAGACGCAGCTGAATACTATAAATTCTATAATATTGACCCCAATAGAAAAGGACTACTTAGACCCAGACCTCCTCAAAAGGCACATGAATACTTATAAAGGCTTTGATAGAGCTTGATCCACAAAATCATCTCCTTTTTTAACCTTTATTTTTTTTTCTATTTACAGATATGTCTGACAGTTAATTACATATTTATCAGAGTGTACAGTATGACAAGGTTTCCTGGAAAATCAAACTTCTATAAAGTACAAATAACCTTCTTGTAATTTACGCCGAAACCAAAGTGTTTTTCAAAATCATGCAGAATCTGAGCTGCCTTTTGCCTCCTTTATATAATCACACCTCAAACTCTCTAACTACTCTAGTAAAATTGTGTTTTGCAATTATTTGCTCACAAGCCAAGATGCTTAATCCAAGTTGTTGTTTTTGGTGTTCAATTTTATAATGCTTACATTCCAAATACAGATATAAGAAAATATGGATGTTTTGAAAGGAAGAGACATTTTTTCAAACTATTGTTGTAGACCAAAACTCAATTTCATAGTGTGTGCAAAATGTGTGATAGATAAATGCAGAATTTAGTGTAGCTCTTTATCCCAAAAAAGAAAGACCTTTCTGACATCTGTGTTTTTTCCTCAGTGGTTTCCTGGTTCAGTCTTTGAGGTGGAATAAAAGATGAAGATGAACACATAACATGGTTTAGAGAGTAATAAATCAATAATTCAGGGTCAGTGTTACAGAAAAAGACTTCAAAAGGCTCGGCATAATTCCTATCCATCAAGGCAAAGATACTGGTTCAGTTCCAGACAGCAGTCCCTTTGATTCGCAGGTGTTTTTACCTAACCCCGCAGATGGCTTTATCCTGGCAGTGCCAACAAAACTAGCATAATATCTGGTTTTCTGTTCAAGGTGGCAGATTTGCTAAACAGGAAGCAAATTAAAATCTATTTAAGATTGCCCTTAAGATACGAGTAACCTTAAAGAGCTAACTGAACATTTTCTACCTTGTGAATTTTGAATAACAAGATAACGGTGATTCAGTTAGAATTCTCTTTTTTGTGCCTCAGGCAAAGGAGTACTAAAATCACTGATCTAGGAACACCTGAAAGACTCTCTTCTGAAGTTAAAATTATTTATCTAAGGAGCTTATAGAGAAAACTGTCCCTTTTTAGATAACTTTTATCTAATTTTGTGTAAACATGCTCACAGCTCTGGCATATAATTATATAGATGATTTACATCTCTCTCTTGATTTACATTTCTTACAGACCTCCTCTCTATACATATGAAATGCTGTGATCAGGATTCTACTTTTTCCAACTTTAGTAAAAGTAAAAATTTTTCAAATTTTATGTATCATGTCTTGGCCTTTAGAAATAATTTGCATCTCCAGAATGCTCAACTGTTAGCTTACCCTCAAGTGTTGCATTAAATAATTTCCTCAGATCATGAGCAGAAGAAAAACAACACTTATTTTTAGGGATTATAGAAAAATCGGCTTCTTTTACATTGGTGGAGGATGAACAAGAAAACAAAATCTACATACCATTCAATTACCATTCCCCTGTCTCCCTCTGTTACAAGCCTTGGCATCAAGCTTGACCCCCACCTCTCCTTTGACAATCATGTCACCTCTATCTGCAAAACTTTCTTCTTTCACCTCCGTAATATTTCCAAACTCCGCCCCTCCCTATCCCTCCCTGCTGCAGAGAAGCTCGTCCACGCCTTCGTCTCCTCCAGGCTGGATTACTGCAACGCTCTCCTCAACGGGATCTCTGGCAGGAGCCTTCAGAAGCTCCAGTACGTACAGAACAGCACTGCCAGGGTCCTGATGAGGGTGAGGAAACACCAGCACATCACTCCCATCCTTCACACTTTGCACTGGCTCCCTATTCACGCCCGTATAGAGTACAAGATTCTTCTGCACACCACTCACTGTGTGCACGGTGCGGCCCCCACCTATCTCACTGAACTGCTCACACCACACACCTCTTCCCGGACCCGGTCAGGCCAACAGCACCGTCTGGCCCCACCCAGGACACGGCTTAAAACAATGGGCGACAGGGCCTTTGAAGCCGCAGCTCCCCGTCTGTGGAATGCCCTCCCAGACCACCTTAGGGCCCCACAGACGGTGGATTGTTTTAAGAAAGGATTGAAACCTTTCCTTTTTAGAAATGCTTACAATTGCTGATTTTTAGATTTTTTTTTTTTTTTAATAGGCATACGTATGCCTTCGAATGTATTGCTTTTAATGATTGTCTTTTACTCTGTTTTTAATTTTATGGTCTTTTAACCTTTGTCTTAATTTTCCCTTTTTGAATTGTAGCACTTTGAGATTTGAATTCAAATGTAAAGTGCGTTACAAATAAAATTCATTATTATTATTATTATTACATAGACATTCTGGTGAGCTGTCCCTTTATTTTTGAAATAGTATTGTGCATACCTGTTTACCCTTTTTGGTTCACATGTTTGCTTGGAAATTATCCTATAGGATAATTATAATTTTTATAATCCTGATCAGACATTTATAAATGTCTAATCAGGATTCTAATATTAAAACAAGACAGTTGCTTGGTCAAACACACACATATTTGCACTCTCTTAGGAAAGTGCAATTGTTTCATACCAAAGGAAAATGATATTGGCTCTGATTGGATCTAAAATTCTTTTGGAACATGTCCCATTTTTTATTTATTTTTTTATTTATCCTTTATTTAACCAGGTAATACCCATTGAGATTAAAAATCTCTTTTGCAAGGGAGACCTGGCCAAGATAGGCATCAAAATTACATCACATCATTACATACGTACAAAGACACACACATAAAAGCCATCCTGAAATGCGAAAATTAAAAGGTACCAGGTGATCAAAGATGCTTATGAAGTTCTGAAAAATAAAAAAAAATTATAAATGTATTTTAAAGCAGAACTCCAAAATACTGGCTGTCTTTCAGCAATTTCCATTTTATTTGTTTTTATAGTTTGGACTAGAGAAAGTGATTCATGTTTTTAATACCAGCTGTTTGTGTATTTAATTCTAATATACACAAAATTCCCACATTTTGTTTTATTTCAACCAGAACGTTTTTATGGAGTTTCTTGAAACAATGAAGTGGTAGGAAGATGATACATGGTTGTTAAATATTTGGACAGAAAATAAATCTAAAAATCATGGCATGTATATACTGTATATGAAGCCGTCCTAAACCAGTACCTTAAAGAACCAGATGTTGATGCAGAACACTGCAAGTCTTTGGGAATGTCTCAGCCAGTTTTACTTGCATAGAAATTAAATTTTTGCTTATTCTTTCTAAAATACCTCAAACCTTTTTCTGAAAATTTTGAAGTGAATTAAACTCTCTATTTTGACTAAACTGCTCTAAACATATGAATATACTGTGAATCACACGTATATTTTAGGGCTTTGACTTGGGGTCATTGTCCCACTGGAAAGCCAACCTCTACCCCTTCTCAGTCCTCAGTTCAGGAGGATGTCAAATGTTAATATTTGGACATATATTTAGCATGTTGGCAAGAAAGTATAATTTTGTTCTTACGAGAATATAACTCCAAAAATAGCCTGTACTTGTATAGCCCTCTATCAGGTCTAAGGACCCCATTGCACTTTACACTATACATTCAGTAATTTAACCATTCACAAACTGATGGCGATCTACATTGTAGCCAAAGCTGCGCAAGGGCAAGCTGACAGATACGAGCCTATGTACACCAAGCCCTTTGACTGTATTGTGTCTTTGGGCAAGACACTACCAAAGGTCTTGCCCAAGGACTAATACATTAGACAGACAGATCTGGGGATTCAGACCAGCAACTTTCTAGTTGCAGGACGAATTCCTGCATCCTACATCAGTTTCACAACAACAGAGAGACAATCCATATATTTGTCCTTATTTTGTTTAAATAATTAATAGTCTTCCTGTCAACAGATTAAGATGTGGACCTCTGCAGCTCCTCCTCCTCCTCTCTTTGCCCTTTTTTTGCTCATCGCTCCCTTTTACCCTTTCTGTCAGTTTAACTGAAAAGCCATGTAGTTTGGCAGAATTTATCCTGATTGGTAAAATATCCTAAAAATGGCTAATTTTCTGTCATTTACAGGTCCCCACATCTGAAATCAGCAGTTGTAATGTATCAAAATGTCGAGATATATGAACACTATTCATTAATCATATAGTGGACATAAGGACACTGTTACACTTCTCAAAACAATATCCTTTTATATAAGTCCCCTGTTCATGCAAATAATTATGAATAAAAGGCTTTGGCTTATGTGAGATTGTATTTGTACTAATTTAGGTAATTAAGAGTTGAGCTTGTTACAGCATACAGCAGGTGAAAAAGCAGAAATCGCTTTCACACAGATAACACACCTACGCAGCCATGTTTTTTGCACTGAGGAGCATGGATGTAGTCCCTCTAATCTGCTCAGTATTTTAAGGAGGTGGAAAAGAAAATGAGCCGTGCTAATACCCTTCACAGTAAAGGCATTAATATGCTAAGGAACAAATGAGAAATTAGATTTACTGACAACCATTTTCCCCATGCCCTTACCTTCGCTGGCTCACAATCAAAATCAAGTACAACTCTCACTGGCTTGGCCTATTAAATAGGTTAAAAACAGCATAAACACTTTTGGTTCAAAATGGCAAAAACCTTAATTTAACTGAATAAAGTGTGAGAACAAGAGCAGCAGTACTGATACAGTATCAGTACTACTTTCCCACTAGTTTCCCACTTATTCCTTAAAATTAAATAGGTTTGGAAAAATATTTATCCTTCCTTCCTTCCTTCCTTCCTTCCTTCCTTCCTTCCTTCCTTCCTTCCTTCCTTCCTTCCTTCCTTCCTTCCTTCCTTCCTTCCTTCCTTCCTTCCTTCCTTCCTTCCTTCCTTCCTGTTTGTCTTGTTTTTTTTTTTATCTTTGTTTTTTATTAGGCTCTGCATCAATAGCATCACCACACAGAATTGTCTCCCTTAAATTGATTATGACCTTTTTTACATTTTAAAACGATCATAAAGGAGTGACAACTCTGGAAAGTTGAGTTTGAGAAAATCTGGATTTTTCTGATAAAATCAGGAATCCTGTAATATACTACACTGGACCTAAGAGATCTGGGGGTGTTGATTAAATTGAATTAAATGCCACAGGTAAGAAACAGGACCCCTGTGTCTGCATCAAACAATATTACCTGCTGGCTTGGTGCCCTGGCGGTCTCGTCGCGTTCAGCCTGGGAAACCTGCCACAGCAACCAATCCTCATCTAACAGCAAAATGGATAAACGATCTGCAGTGGGGCTGCTAATTCTCCGCAAATCGGTTTTGCTGTGAATGGTCAGGGACACAATTAAAGCCCAACATGTAGATTTTGATGCCCAGTCTTATTTTCCTTCCAGCCCTCCACAGACAATAGCAGCTTCTTCTTTTGTTCCTCATCACCGTGTCCAATTTTCCAGAAGCACAAAAGCTCCTGGAAGTCGTTTTGAGGCAGACTCTGTTTCACAGTGGGCTATCATGGCCTCAATTATCACCTTCCTCACTAGCACATTATCGCATATGGTTACTGTACTTTGCCTGTACCACACATGAACAAAGAATGTAAAATCCATATATTATTCCAATTTTTCCTGTTTAAAGTATGAGCTCAGATTTAGCTCCAATGTTAATTACTGCCATTGAATCTTTCTAGGATCAGTCTGTTATATTTTGATGAGACTGTTGACAGTCGGATGTGATTAAATTATCCCATTTAACAGGAATTCAGCTGTCTGATTTGATTCTGGTGAGATGCTCTGAATGTCACCCAAATAAATCAGTTTATGTGGAAGTGTGTGGAAAGGTGTTATCTGCCAATCAATGTCCAATGCTGTTTGTGTTTAATTCCTGTGAGGAGCTGCCTCTACTCATTTTCTACAGTCGCCATTAAAAAGAAAGAATCTGAATATGAAAAATGTATTTATATATCTTGTTTGCAGAAGCATTGATGAAATATGGCTTAATAAAAAAAGAAAATGTTTTTGATAAATAATAATACCAATGTTCTTGACATGTGATTGGCAGAATAAACAAACACAAAATCTTGATATGCATTATAAGGAAGAAAAACTTAGATTTTTGTTCTTGAAGTGTCATTCCAAAAGGATCCATGTTCAGAGAAGTGACACTAAAATTATAAGAATTTCCAGACCTTGACTGATTCACAGTAAACAAATCCGACTATAAAGTCCTGCATGATTTTCATTCTGCACAGCTGAGGGGTGAGAACAGAAACCCAGTGATAGGCTGTCTGAAAATAAGAACAATCATTGAGTCACAAAGCGTTTGTATCCTCTGATCATTAAAGGCCACTTTGTTGTCGGTGCCGTTGGAGGGTCATGATTTCCTGCCGCTCAAATAATGATTTTTCACAACAGTCTGATTGCAATTTAGAGTTGTTAAGAGACTTTTTTTACTTGAAGGACATCCTCTGGCATGAGATATCATATCCTATTACCATATCTCCTCCCTGTTTTCAGCCTCAAATGAGCCTCTATAAGAGGATGAATTACCCTTCCTAATTCCTCCAGCAATCAGGTTTGACCTTTACAGCTTTGTTTTTAGTGTGCAAAAGAGACCCGGAGAAAAACGCTCATCTTACAGCGTTGCTAGCTTCAGGAGCAACAAATAATTCACGCTTCTAGGAAATATAATACAATGATGTAGCCTTCACCAAAACAAGCAGTAACAGCTGAGCACAGCTTTCATTTATTTTCATTCAGCAGAGACAATATTGTGACTAGAAATTGTACATGCCTCTGGTATTTTTTAAACTTGATCACCTTTTCTTTTAGACTTTATGGAATAGAGCAACACAGGAGAACAAAATTGTGAAGCGGAAACAGTAGATATATGGTTTCAAAGTTGACATAAATAAAAATAGAGAAACTGTTGCGTGCATACTATATGTTCATCCCCATTTACTCTGATAGCTCTAAATAAAATTTAGCTAGACCAGCTGTCTTTAGAAGTCACCTATTAGTAAACATGGTGCATCTCTGTACATAGTTGCCCATAGGGAGATTTTCAAAGCATTTTTAAATGGTCGGTCTGTTCGAGGCCCAAACAGCTATCGTTCAGAGTTTTTTGTTTATTACCCTGTGAAATGTTGGTGCACTGCTGCAAGCATATAGCGACCCCTTCATCCAAT